CATCTCTTCATGCACACTCTTCCAAAATCTAGAAGTGAATCGACTGTCTTTGTCTGATACAATCTATAATGGTACACCATGAATCTTGACAATATCTTTATGGTGGTTTCTACAAACTTTTTCATAAACCAGGTCTCTCGTGCGGCTAAGAAGTGCGTACTATTTGTTAACCGATCTACTATAACCCAAATCATGCTGTGACCTTTTTCGTGTCTTTGGCAACTTGGTTATAAAATCACGTCATCCTACTTACCCATGGGTACCGATATAGGCTCCAAGTTCCCATATGGCTTCTGATGTTGTGCTTTCACTCTTGAACAAGTCACACATTCAGACACGTATGTTGCCACGCCGATCATCATTCTTGGCCACCAATAATAAGGTTTTAGTTCCAAATACATCTTAATGTTTTCCGAGTGTATAAAATACATGGTTTTATGAGACTCTTCCATGAGAAGATCCCATATAGGATTTTGTGACATTATGGAACGTAAGTATGACTTTACAACTTCAATTTTGATCTATATCAACACCCCATCACCCACATTAGTACCACCATTGTTTTGATCCTAAAAAGATACTTGTGACTTTTTTTCGATAAACCTATCATGAGCCCCACTTTAAGACTTTTTTTAAATTCTTGTGTGTGTGTGTGTATATATATATATATATATATATATATATATATATATATATAATGTTTTTCACAACCCAATAGATGCTTAGAAGTCAACTTCTAAAATTATATATGATATAACATTAAAAACAATGTGAACATCATAACACATTGTTATAATTAACTATGCAGATTCCACGAAACATGAACATGAATATAGAAAAAATTAGAGAAATCACTAAAAACAGAAATTAGATTTCATAATGCACTAATGTGAAGTTTGGAATTCAGTCATCAAAATACATGTGTTAGTGTGTTACGTTCGTTAATCAATGACAACAACTAGAATATAAAAACGAGAGGCCATCAAATCCGGAAATCAGGAATAGTGGAGTACTCGTGTAATTTCAGCCGACAGTTAAAAAACGAGAGCGATAGTGCAATCAAAATCGAGAGGCGGAGTCTAGGTAAATAAAAAGCCAAGAAACAATAAACGTCGCTTGAGTTTTGCAATTACCGCAAATTTATAATTTTTGAACCGGAACAAAATGTAAGTTTTTACTTATAGCAAATCTACATTAGCATATTATTAGCTCAAATGCAATTTTTAATTTTAAATATAATGTTTTAAAACATAATTTTTAATTGTAGCGTGAACTATTGGAATTAGAAAAAATAAGCTTTTGTCTCTTGAATTGCCGATTAGCGATTATTGGATAATTTACAAAATCGTATGGAAAATTGAAGCCCTCCACAACATGGGCCATGTACGCTCGCTCGCCTCACGCCCCTGGACGCCCATACATTCATGTTATCTTAAAATATATTGCCAAACGGTCACAACCAAAAATCATGTTCCTTGATTTATGAAACCCACATATAACCGAGCCAGTCAGAAACAGTTATGTTTTATTTTCAAAAAAGGAGAAAACCCGATCGGGTGTGTACCTCTAGTCCTCTACCTCTAATTACATTTATTCAAAGGCCAACAGAAGTGGGTTTTCATTTTAGAAGGTCTGGCCTATTAAGATGTTACAAGCCCATCTTGATATTTGGTCATACGTATATATACACTTCTCTCGGTAGGGTTTGGTTTCTTGTGATCCCAAAACCCTAAGTTTTCAACAGCAGGCCGTCGGCGTTCTAGCAAGCGAGAGGTACAGGATGAAGACGATCTTATCATCAGAGACGATGGACATCCCTGACGGCATCGAGATCAAAATAAAGGCCAAGATCATTGAAGTGAAAGGACCACGAGGAACCTTAACTCGCAATTTCAAGCATCTCAATCTCGATTTCATGCTCATTACTGACGAGGAGACCGGGAAAAAGAAGCTGAAGGTTGATGCATGGTTCGGATCTCGCAAGACCACCGCCGCCATCCGTACTGCACTCAGTCACGTCAGCAACCTAATCACCGGTGTTACTCAGGGGTTCCGTTACAAGATGCGATTTGTGTACGCTCACTTTCCAATTAACGCTAGCATTAGCAACACCAACTCTGCGATTGAAATCCGTAACTTTCTTGGTGAAAAGAAGGTGTGTATTCCATTCCATATATTCGTAAACATGTTTATTCTCTTTTGACATCACATATTATTTGTAGCTATGATCTTCTGCATATTCATAGATTTCATCTGCTTCAGTATGTTAAGCAGCTTGTATATTCAAAGTTAACAGTTCGATTTGGTTTCAGTTGCATTTTCTTTCGTTTGTTGTGAACTCTTGTTTATTTCCTTTATCTTGCAGTTTGCGCTATAATGTTTTCCATATCGCATTCTCTTTTTGTATCATATGCGTTCATCAGCATAATCGATTATGCTCTGGTTTTCTTCCAACATGGTGTTTATGTTTTCTTTTGCTTAATTTCAATCTTATACCTTAGAATTCTTCTTGCCAACAAACAGGTGAGGAAGGTTGATATGCTTGATGGAGTGACTGTGGTCAGATCCGAGAAGGTTAAGGATGAATTGATACTAGATGGAAATGACATTGAACTTGTTTCTCGATCATGTGCTCTAATTAACCAGGTATTCTTTCACACATAGCGGTTTATGTATCAAATTATCAATGCTCTCAGTTTTTTTGATCTGTTTTCTTCATTTGATTTTTGTTGTATATGCAGAAATGTCATGTGAAGAACAAGGATATCAGAAAGTTTCTTGATGGTATTTATGTTAGTGACAAGGGAAAGATAGAGGAGGGTGATAATTGAGTTTGTTTTGTTATCTGCACCATTTTCAGTCAGAGTGTTATCTTTTTTCTTTAGCCATATTTTGAACATTTTTGTCAGACTCTTGTTACCATTGAGTTCTGAAGTTTTCTTGAACCTTAATTACTATTGTACTGTGCTTTTGGTCTTGTTTATGCATCAATTATATCAAAACCCGACCGTTTTTTGTTTTTTGTTTGTTCAATATGATTGGATTTCTTTTTCTCTACTGGTAAAGGGGGTTGAGATCAGGAAGAGTCGATTGAAATGTTGATGATACTGAACAAATTTTGTCATAAATGAGTTCTTGTTTGATTAGTCAGATATACTAGCATGAGTAGTTTAAAGTTAAAACATTTGAATTTGGTTGTTTTGTTTAGAAGTTCGATAGTTAAAAATCATTTTGTCAATAAAGCAATTTTGAATTTAAACATCTGGATTTCAGTTGGTATGTAAGTATGATTTAAGAGGTGAAACTATTTTGCTTACAAAGTTGGATATTTTTTTTTGCCTTTTTAAGCTGCAGATAGTTAGGCCTAATATAAAATAAATAAAAAGAAAACGAAAATAATAAAGTGATGTTAAAAACAATCATGATATGTTAAAATTTAGGCCTAATATAAAATAAATAAAAAGAAAACGAAAATAATAAAGTGATGTTAAAAACAATCATGATATTTTGAAATGCAAGCAATTATTCGTAGTTGCTTTTGTTGTTTTTTCCTTATATTGCTATTGTTACCCTTTTTATGGCAAAAAAAGAAGACATACATTATTCGTAGAGTTGTGTTATATATGTATTCTTTTTAGATCATAAAAGAGTGCACACTACCTGGTGACTAGATAAAAAAACCCTTTAAGATAGAATTTCATTTATTTTATGTTTGAAACCCTGTTATGATAAAAAAAAAACCATGCTAAAACCTTTTCATGATTTTGCTAGTAGAAGACAAAGCCATTGCAATCCCGATGAGGACTGAAATGTTATCAGGATTTTATGAAATATGCTGATCATTTTAAAGAAGCAACAACTTATTTACAGGGTGTTTACTCCATGCTAGTGGCCTTAGTTCTCAATCACATACTTTTAATGACAGAAAAAAGTAAAGGAATTTGAGTTGTGACATGTTTTATTTATTTATTTATTTAAATTAAATTATAATATTATTAATCAAATAAAACACAAAATTTTAAATTGTTTTATGAAGTTATCTTTGGTTTTTTTACTTGTGCTCCCATTTAACAATTCATGTATAACCATATATTTAAACAAATATGTTCAACAAAGCAATCTAACAATTGATCATAAGAGAATGGAACTGGTGGGGAATCATATAGATGTGACCAAATATGCTAATTACCAGTTTTATAATACTTTATTAAAATATACTAAAACACGATCTGCCCCAAATAGGGAATAGGGAAATTATATGACATCAATTTTTTTTTATCCTGTTTTATTGTTGAAGAATTAAAAAATCTAGATATTTTGGGTTGGACGAGAGAAAATGAACAATAATTTTCAATTCTAGACACTATGACCCATGATTTCCCAAATGTCAAAGCATCTCCTGTAGCTTCAAAATTCATTTTTTCTCTTAGTGACATGATTATTTCGAAATGAAAGTCAAGACTCACTCCCGAATCAATGAAAATATGTGTTTGTTTTTACGATTATTTGTACGTTGTTGAAAATGCATTTTTTAACCGATATGAAAGTATGTGTTTGTTTTAATGATTACCTGGTTTTTAACCGATTTGAATCCACTTACACTGGATCTAGTAGTCCCCACCCAAAATGCAACCTAGATTATCCGAAATCCGATCATTTGAAAACTGGATTTAAAAAAAATACCGAAATCGGATGAATTCGATTTTTTGTGCACCTCTTTAAAAGGTATATCAATGCTTCATAAAACGATACTTTCCTTCAAAGCTATGCAACATTTGTAATTGCGGATTGTCAAAGAATCAAGAATGCAATATTCTTAGTTAGAACTCCAATCCACATTTACATTCTTAGTTAAAAACACATTTCATTAATTTATTTATTATGAATCAAAATCTCTATATTTTATTTGTTTTAAAATTATTAAAAAAAACTATCGATTTGAATTTAAGAACATTTTAGGCCATTAAATTGCACATAAAAACTTTTCTCAAATTTCTAACTGTAGTAAATTCGATTTTAACCAAACTTTGTCACCCTTTCCATTGATCGTCGTTCTTCTCGTCGGCGGCGAAACAATGGAGCCGGACGTCAGCATCGAAACCAGTTCCATGATCCGGATAGCTGTCATCCCAATCGGAACTATCCACTCACACCAATTCCGAGACTACGTTGCAATGCTCGGTCGCCACCACAATATCGAACTCTCAGCGATCAGTTCCTTCTACACCGTACACGAAAAATCACCCTTCTCGCAACAGCCCTGGTGTTCCGGCAATCTTCGTTTCAAATACGTCATCGGTGGATCTCCGCCGAGTCCGTGGGAGGATTTCCAACCCTATCGGAAAATTCATGGTGTTATTGGAATCTGTCATTGTCCCTCTTCTCCTGATCTGGGCAGTGTACTCGCGCAATTCCTTACGGCGTGTAAAGGATACTCCTCTTCTCTTATTCAACGCTGTTTCGCTTTTTCTCCCTGTGATTCTCAGGTTTTAATCTTATTTTCAAAGTTTTAGAGCACTTGTGTCGATCAATTTTATTGAAATATCATATATCATTACAATGTAGCATTCAAATTTCAAAACCTAGGGATCTGAGCAACATGAATATCAACCTAACCGATTTACTTTATCATATCATCATCTATTATTGCAGTTAGAGGATGAAAGTAAGAAAAGCAATAAGCTGGTGTTATTTCCTCCTGCTGATCAACGAACACAGGAATTTCATCTGCAAACAATGATGCAAGACATGGCTGCTTCACTTCTGATGGAATTTGAGAAGTGGGTGGTTGCAGCAAAATCGAGCGGGACCCTTCTCAAGACTCCTTTAGATTCTCAAGCCAGTCTCAGCGCAGAGGAGGTTTATGTTTTAGGTGTCATAGTCATAATTTCCCCCCTTCCTCCTCCACCTTCCTTACATTGATTAATCTAATTGAGTACCTCTTTTAGACCTGCAACTTAACCAACTTGATCAGCAATTTTTTCAGGCGATGAAAGCCAGAAAAAGGAGAGATGCCCGAGCCCATAAAACCATAGGGGATTACTGTCTACTAGCTGGATCACCTGTTGATGCCAATGCCCATTATTCTGATGCTCTAGAACTTGCAAGAACAATTGGAGATTATTTTTGGTATGCTGGGGCATTGGAAGGTGGTGTTTGTGCCTTTCTGGTAAGTAACCACATTCAATCATCATTAATCAAACATACAAAACCTTTTGTTGATTCATACATTATTTGCTATAAGATGAGTAAAACAGGGGAGAAGGATGCAGCTTTAGTGGAAGAGGTCAAGTTTCGCTACAATGGTGTCATCACTCATTATCGCAAGTCATTTACACCAGAAAATGCTCAGAGGTAAAATCTCATTCTTCATTATTGTAACATTCTTTAATATATATCTGCTTTAATGTCATGTAACATTTTTGCAGGGTTTCGCCTCTGAGCTTTGAACTTGAAGCTACTTTGAAACTGGCAAGATATCTCTGTAGACCAGAGCTAGTAAAGGAGGTGGTGGAGCTGTTGACTACTGCAACAGATGGAGCCAAATCATTGATTGATACTAGTGATAGACTAATTTTATACATCGAAATAGCTCGTTTATTTGGAACTCTTGGGTACCACAGAAAAGCTGCCTTTTTCTCCAGACAAGTGGCTCAATTATACATGCAACAAGAAAGCAATTTAGCTGCTTCAAGTGCTTTACAAGTATTGGCACTCACCACAAAAGCTTATCGTGTTCAAAGCAGAGCTTCCATTTCCAATGTGTGTTAGTAATTAGTAAACATAAAACATTCCAGATTCTTCATTCATGCATCAAATTGAATCACTCCCAATTTTCTCTTCTTACTCTTTGTGTTTACATTATGCAAGGAAACCGGTCAATATCTTGTTGATGGTGGAAAGATGAATCATCATTTGGTGGTATCTTTATTCGAGTCTCAATGGAGCACGTTGCAGATGGTTGTACTAAAGGAGATACTTTTATCCGCCGTTCGCGCCGGTGATCCTCTTGCTGCATGGAGTGCAGCCGCCCGTTTAATACGATCTTACTACCCTTTAATCACGCCGCCCGGCAAAACCGCCTCGCAAACGCCCTAATCAATTCCGCCGACCGCCTTCCTTCCGGCACTCATTGCTCCGATCCCGCTTTGCCCTTCATAAGGTACGCCAAATTACACAAATCACCACTCTAAATCAATGACTAAATACAATTCCGATTCCGATTCCAATTCCAATTCCCAGGTTGCATTCGTTTCCACTCCATTTCTCACAGATGGACATAATAAAACGGAATCCGAAACGAGAAGATTGGTGGGCGGGGTCAGCTCCTTCGGGGCCTTTTATCTACACACCGTTTAGCAAACGCGATTCAGTTTCGAACAGTAAGCATGACCTAATTTGGGTAATCGGGGAACCAGTTCAGGTGTTGGTGGAATTAGCAAACCCTTGCGGGTTTGATTTGATAGTGAATAGCATCTATCTCTCAGTTCATTCTGCAAATTTCGATGCGTTTCCCGTGAGTGTAACCCTACCTTCAAGTTCTTCAAAAGTTCTTAGTTTATCAGGAGTCCCAACTAAAGAAGGGATTGTGAGTATCCCCGGATGCATCGTCCATTGTTTTGGTGTACTCACTGAACATTTCTTCAAAGATGTAGACAATTTACTCCTCGGAGCATCTCAAGGGCTTGTTTTTTCCGACCCTTTTCGTTGCTGTGGGTCTGCAAAGCAGAGGAATATAACTGTTCCCAACATTACAGTAGTTCCCAGACTTCCATTGTTAGTTTCACACGTGGTTGGTGGTGATAGCGCCATGATTTTATACGAAGGTGAAATTCGTGAGCTCTGGATGAGTTTAGCTAATGCTGGAACAGTTCCAGTTGAGCAAGCGAACATCTCATTATCAGGGAAAAATCAAGATTCTGTTGTGTCAATCGGATATGAAATTTTGAAATCTGCATTACCATTAAAACCTGGAGCTGAAGTGATTATACCAGTGACATTAAAAGCATGGCAATTAGGGTTAGACCCTGATACAGCTAATAAGAGACAGGTAGATGGAAGCAGCCCGGTTTTGTTGATTCATTACGCAGGACCCACCGGAGACCCGATGCCACCTGGACGCCGCCTTGTTGCTCCACTAAATATCTGTGTTTTGCAAGGGCTTTCGTTCATGAAAGCTCGGTTGTTGTCAATGGAGATTCCCGCTCATGTTGGTGGCGTTTCTGAAAATATCTGTTCTACTGATTCGCTTGTGAAGATTGATCCTTTTAGAGGAAGTTGGGGTTTGAGGTTTCTTGAATTTGAGCTGTATAATCCAACTGATGTTGTGTTTTGAAGTTATTGTCTCTGTGGTGGATGGAATAAATACCAATAATAATAATAATAATGAATTTAGTTATCCGAAAACGAGAATAGATAGGGATTACACTTCTCGAGTGCTTATTCCATTAGAGCATTTTAAGCTACCTGTTCTTGATGGATCTGTTTTGATTAACAATGGGGGTGGGGGTGTGAAGACGAAAGCTGAACTGAATGCTTCGATAAAGGATTTGATTTCGAAGATTAAGGTGAGGTGGCAATCGGGGAGGAATAGTGCGGGGGAGTTGCATATTAAGGATGCTACACAAGCGGCTCTTCAGACATCAGTTATGGATGTTTTGTTACCGGATCCTTTGACTTTTGGTTTTAGGGTTGATGAAAGGAAGGAGAAACAAGATTGTATTGTTGCAAATGAGATGAGTCGGATGGCAGTTATTGTTAGGAATAACACAAAAGATTGTATAAAGATGAGTCTTAGTATTACGTGTCGAGATGTTGCAGGTGAAAACTGTATTGAAGGTTATAATAATCCTACCGTACTATGGGCAGGTAGGCAACTGTCTGTATATGTTGGAGTCTTCCTATCTGTGAAATAGACTCTTTTGAAGAGTTAATATATAAGACTCTACGTATATCTTACGCTGTACATTAATTTTTTAGGTACTTTGATTGGTGTGAAGGTGGAGATTCCTCCGTTGAAGGAAATTAAACATACATTTTCTCTTTATTTTATGGTACCTGGTGAATACACGTTGTTAGCTGCTGCAGTAATAGATGAACCTAATGAGATATTGTGGGCACGTGCACGTTCTGCTTCGTTTGATGAACCAATCGTTTGCCGGGGCCCACCTTATCATGTTCGAGTGCATGGGATTGTTTGATGTCTTTTCGTCTACATACATCATTCTTGTCCCAAAATTTTGTATTTTTTTCACTGTTTATGCTTCATTATTATCATTATTACTTTAGCCAAATTTCGGGCATTATAGTTATTGTTTTTAAGTCCGAAAATTGTAATGCAAATAAACATGTTCTTACTGCTATATATACGATAGACTTGTTATTGAAGTTCTAAGAGGAAAAGATCGTATATTGTTTGTCATGGATCATATCAGTTGTGAACAACTTTGTTCAAGGCAATTTTTAAAGCAAGCCTCGTAATTGTTAGGCTATATTATGGCGATATATGCTTGGGAATATCAAATGACATAGGTTTTATCCATTAAATGAAGATGATAAGTTTTGTGTGGGTAATTGATAGTCTTAGAATACCTTGACTAGCAATGTACAATAACTTATGTGTCTAAACCCACGAAATAACCAAATTTGAACTCGAGTTCACAATCCAGTTTTGCTTATAACTTATATTTGAAAATGTTTATTATAGATGGAATTATGGAAACCAATTAACATTTACCACATTTTTAATCCTTAAACACCATATGGATCACAACATCATTTTTCTTTTTTCAACGCCAACATAGCAATTTACCTTTTTACCTTTGTATATTTTGCTATTTTACATACAGGGTCGGGCTGACAAGTTGGACGGCCGTTATGGACCTCAAGACGATTGGCCCCAAAATTAATTTTGTTAGATATTATGTATATAGTGTTCATTTAAAAAAAACACAAGTTATGTAGGTAAAGACGTGCATTTCATTCACTTAAATGAACAAAACAATGTTTGATTCTAGTTGGTCATATTTTTAAGAAATTATAACCCACAGATTTAATAATAACAAAGTTTTTTTAAAAAAATAAAATAATCAAAGGCATTTACACTTCATATTAATATATTAGGTATGCTTCATGCTTTTAAAATGAAATAAACGCAATTAAAATGCGTCCCACATCGTTGGACAAAGAAAACTAAAGCTATTTCTATGTTTATAAAAGAAAAAAAAAATAAACATTTAACGCTATAAAAAAAACAAATTAGGCTATATAAACTAGTTGTTAGTTAATAAAAATGTCATTTGATATACCAATTGAAATATGTAAAATGTAGAAAAATTAAGTCTTTTTTATAATTGATAATGAATATATTTGAGAGAATTAAAAAAAAAAAAAAAAAAAAACTCGTTGATATGATAGTCTTGGTTATGTTTGGTGTACTAGCGAAAAACTTGTTGGTAGCTGATATTGAAAAGCTAGATGATAACTGAAAAATTAGTTTCTAGCTTTTAAACATTCTGATAAAAAATAATGTTTGATACAAACCAGTTGATAAACTAGTTGAAAGATATATAATGATATAAATGGCATTTAGAAAAATATGTTTTTATAATTAATTAATGATATATTTGAAATAAAAAAAAACTAATATAAACTAGTTGTTAGTTAATAAAAATGTCATTTGATAGACCAATTGAAATATGTAAAATGATATGTAGAAAAATTGAGTCTTTTTTTTATAATTGATAATGAATATATTTGAGAGAATTAAAAAAAAAAGCTCAATAAGCTCGTTGAAATGCTAGTTTGGTTATGTTTGGTGTACTAGCAAAAAATTTGTTGCTAGCTGATATTGAAAAGCTAGATGATAACTGAAAAATTACTTTCTAGTTTTTAAACATTCTGATAAAAAATAACGTTTAATACAAACTAGTTGATAAGCTAGTTGAAAGATATATAATGATATAAATGACATTTAGAAAAATATGTTTTTATAATTAATTAATGATATATTTGAAATAAAAAAAAATATTAAAAGTTAGTCTAATTAGCTTTTTTAAAAACTAGTTTATAAATTATTTTTTAGCTTGTCAAACATGAGTACTCAAAAGAGTTCGAAAAATAAGCAACTTATCAATTGGTGCGCCAAACATGACAATCTAAAAAGAACTCAAAAGTTAAGCTAACTTATTATCTAGTTGTGGAGTGCTAAATATAAAACTTTTTAATGTTTTTCAAACAAATAGTTGATTTCATTGTTTAATGCTTTAAAGAGGATGCATGTTTGTTCTACACATTTTTTTTCAAATAGAGAAAACGACCTAAAAAGGTAAGATAGTTCTTATTTTGTATATATTTAGTTATTAATTTTTTTTCTTGTTAAATAAGCCTTTATACTTTTTGTTTTTGTACACATTAAGTCATTTAGACCGGATTCTATAGGTTTTGTTGATGTAGAAGCATATGTGACATAAATAACAATTAAATGGCATCTTACGTGGCCTAGGCAATGCTTATAAGCGAATCTTTACACAAGAAATCAGGAGGAATTGATTTTAACCTAGAAGAATGAGGTGGATGTCGACTGGCAATTACATAGTAGATAATGAAATCCTTTGTGATTGTTTACTCCCAAGACGAATTCGTACCTCCAAGACTAAAGATAACCCTGAAAAGAAATTTAGAGTGTGCCCTAACTCAATGGTAATTACCGATTTTGATTTTATTTGTAAAAATGAATCATTTTTTTTATTCAATTTCATATTCTTACCTTCTTGCCTTTGTTTTATTACTAAAGAAATTAGGAAAAAAGTGTAAAGTTTAGGAGTGGGTTGATGAACTTGTGTATATGAAGCCCAATGTAGAAGATATGCTTTTAGAACTTATAGAGATCGTGGCAGTTTCTAGGAAATAAGTGAAAGAATTAAAGCTCGTGTTCATTATGAAGCTTATGTATTGATGATTATGTAATGGTAAAAACTACATTGCTATTATGTATGGATGTTCATGTAATGGATGTTTATGTAATGGTAGAAAGTACATTGCTATTATATGTATCAAATTGACTCTTAATTAAGATAAAAAGAACTCCATTGGTTTTAACAATGGTAAACAACTAAAATATGAGTACCAAATAGTTGGGGACCAAGTAATGAAAGTACATTGCTATTATATGAATCATATTGATTATTTTGTTTTAAAACCAAGATATATATGGCATGGGTTGACTATGTATAGAACCATGACAAATTGCAGGAAATATTATTTTGTAGACAGATGGATGTAAATACAAAAAAAAGTAGCAGACAAAAGGCATTAAACCTAATAGATGCTTCATTTTATTCCATTCATGAGAATGGTCATGTTTAGGGTAGACAGGTTCTTGCATATTCCCATCTTCTTCAACAAGGTCTTCATTCTCTATTGGAAAAAGAATATTCACGAAGTGATCATTAAAGTTTCTTTTAAGAGATATAACTTCCTCATCATCTTTCATTTTCACCTTTCACATCATCTGATAAAATGGAATCTACATCTTTAATAGAAATCATATCATCTCCAAGCTCTAGTTCTTCCTCCTGGATCCAATTAAACAAAGGTTCATGTATGTGGTCGACATACATATTCAACCTCTTATTTTCATTAGCAGCTTCAAGAAACTCATTAAAATCGCACTCATTTTGTATGACATGCAACCCCTCAACCAAACTTACTTCAGGCGCACATTAATACACATATTTGCAAACGCAGTTGATAAAGTTTTTCAAGAAAAGTGATGGAATCAGAGAAGTTCATCTTGTTAACATCAATGTTTCGTACAGATGTTCTGGTTGGATGAAAATACACCAATGGGATAGGTGTGAATGTGTCATTGTAGTGTACATTGAATATTTAAATTGCCTCTTCTGCCATGAATGATTGTGATTCAGGAAGATTGGGAGTAACGATGGTGGAGTAGTGTGACATAATGGAGGATGAAGGCTTACTAAATGAACCCTAATTGCCCATTATCCTCTTAGTGGGTGTTTAAGAGTGATTCTCAAATTAACTTATTAGCTTATTGATTTTTCAAAAAGTCAAATGACTTTTTGGCCGACAAAAGATGGACTTTCAAAAAGTCATAAAATCTTAGCTTTTTGGTGGCTTTTAGTCATTTTATCATTAAAAGGCTAAGTCAAACACTTTTTAAAACAAACTTATTGACTTTTTAGCTTTCCCACCACAAAAACTAATTCAAACACTTTTTAAAACTTCTTTTCCAAAAAAACTATAAGTCAATAAAGACTTTTCCTAAAAACACTTTCAAGATTAAAAGCACTCCCAAACACCCACTTGATTTGGGGTGTAATAGATGACTTATCCACATAAACTGCCACGTGGACACCACATATGTAATATATTTCACCAAAATAAATGTAAAATCAAATAAAACCGGCTAAATCGGGTGTAGCCGGTCAAAAAGGCTACATGCATACAAAAAAACAAGTATAAAGGCTTATTTAACCCAAAAAAAACATATACAACTATCGTTCCCTTATATGTCGTTTTCTCTTTCCAATAACAAGTAATGATCGTTTATACTTGTTTGATAAGCAAGTCGAGTTCAAGTTTCATAGCCCATTCATGTAAAATCGTAGCTAACATAGCTAATATTGCAGATGGTCTTAATCACATGCAATTATATTTTTAATAATCTTTTTTTCCTTTTTTTGCTAATTCATTAATATTTAATATTTTTGGTTATTTTTGTAATTTTCTCAGTAATTAAACGATCCCAAATATTGTGATTACATGAAGGGTTTTGAGTTTTGACTTAAGAAAGAAAACAACGTCGAAGTCTCGAAGAGGGAAATTTATCGGCTGGACAATGGAAATTGAATTTACACCTTGTTTCCGAGTTCTACTTAAGGAGGAATATGAAGGGAAAATGAGAGATGTTGAAGAAAAATCGTGTCCCCGAATTTCATTAATGGAAGGAAAGTGAGGGGAAAGAAAGGATTTTGGAGACATATTTTCCTTCAAATTGGGCGGATTTGAAAAGAAAGTAAGGGAAAGGAAAATCTTTAAGTTTTTTTTCCTCGTAACTCGGGAACACAAAAACTTAAAATTTTCCTTTAATTTCCTTCAAACTCAAAATTTTCCTTTTATTTCCTTCAAACTGAGGAACAGGGAATAAATAAAGGGAGGTGATAATTCCAAGGATTGTTATTGATACTTCAACGGATTTTAAAGCACAATGACAATTATGCCGCTTTGTAATTAATTATTCGTTAAACCCCATTCGGATTCTTTAAACATACAACTATTCAAGTCCCATGTTCTTGATTGAGGTAATAGCACAACCCTGCAATTTCCATGACTCGATAAATCCAGTGTTTC